ATACATAAATATTAAGATCTTATTATTTCTGGAAATTCTGTTGTTTTCTGCTTGATGTTCTGACCTAAAAACATAATGGACCTGTCAGGTCATAGAATAGTTTTAAGTCTTAGTTTATAGGAAGCAAGTTAGAGTCAAATACTTCATTGTCAGTGCAAAATATATACTTGCGTTAATGTTATAACATTTTCTCCGCCCCCCCTTCCCACCCCACTCACACACACATAAATGATGCCCTTTCACTTCGAATAATGCACAGATTCAATTTCAAGGTGCCGTGTCAAATGCATGGGCCAATCCATAATGTTTAAGTAAAATTAATAAGCTATGTTGCTTCAAGACCTCTTCATTCCTGACTCCTGATCCATTCGTAATGGTCCATGTATCTTTTTGCTTTTAATTTCCAGATGTAACATTTATTCACGAGGGAAATAAAACGTTTTTGGATAATCTCGTCAATTTTGAGAAGCTGGTAAGTAGCTCGCATTGTTTCTCCCTTTTCAAGTGTATGCTTTTCCCTTTTGCACCAAGAAGCCAGAGGATGCAGCCCTTTTCTTCAGTGAACATGTGATGATTTCCAGGAGCTATTTGCTGCATGTAGTGCATTGTCAATAAAACGTATTACAATTAAAACTACGTGGCTAGCAAGGTTCTGAGGACCAAATACAAAAAAATCTGCTTTTTAGTGTTAAAAAATGGAACTTCATTAGGTTAGCATCAGCAATGGAGGGTATGCTATTGAACCAAAAATAAAATGTGAGAGTCCTATCTGGGGAATTAACACTCCTGAGGTTGAGTTTTACAGCTTGAACAGTGTCTCTCTGTGTCCCAGCATGCACTGCTCTGTGGGCACCTCCCAGTGTGGGTAGGAAGGGGGGATGAAAAGGGCCGGCGTGTGAGGGGAAGGACCCCCTGTCATCAGCCTGTGGACAGAGGGGGCCACTGTGGAGAGGCAGTTCTGACAGGAGAAGGGTTCCCAGCCAGAGCTTTTCCACAGGGATCCCCCGAGTTATTCCCAGGATGTAGCCGGGGCTTTGTTCTGCGCGGGCTCCTCCTGGCCTCTGTGCCAGCCACGCCCCGGGCAGAGGAGGAGCTGCCTGTCAGAACTGAGCGAATATAAAATAGGAGTGTTCCAAGGAGCCCCGGTGGACAACAAGAAGGATGGATGTGTCTGACCGATGAACTTTAGTCATGAATTAGATTGTCCTTCATGGTTAAGAACGATCCAGTGACCCCTGTCCATAGATCCTGGCCTCTGACCTTTCAGTCATGGTGATGGATTTGTGTGAACTCTTTCAGGAAATGACCCCCGGTTCCCTCGGGGGGCGGGGGGGAGTGATGTGGGGGACGCAGACCATGACCACAGAACAGTGCAAACTGCTGAGTCCACACGAGGTTTGGCGTCTGACCTTTGCCTCCCGAGTGCCCTGCTCTAACTTGCCACACACAGGGTGAGAGGGCACAGGGCCACTGTACAACCATGCACCTAGGGTCTGAAGGCAGGAGTCCGGCTTCTTGCCGTAGGTGTAACCCCCGAGGACCATCCCTCTATGGCTCGTTATTTTTAAAGTGGACATGCCTATAACTTTCCAAGTCTCTCTCTGCACTAAGTGCTTTGGAATAGAGCTCAGTTACTTAGATACTACATACAGTCACAACAACATAGCTGGGAATGGGCATTTTGTTGGGGTTTCTGTACTTATTCTTTGAAGGTGTGTTCTGTGTCGCTGTGTAATGTTCTGAAGATCACAGGGCAGCTATTTGCAACAAAAGGCTGTAGGCACCAACATTCTGGTTTCCAGGCAGATTAATCTCCGATGTTTGGTGTTAATGGGAGGATTGCAGGAATATCAAACCTTTGGTGGATATTTACTCCAAATCCTGGCCAATGCACCAGATAAGCTTTGGAGAGCGTGTGTGAGGATATAGCAGCCGTGGGCAAACTACGGCCCACAGGCCCGTTTGAAATGAATAAAACTAAAAAAAAAAAAGACTGTACCCTTTTTTGTAATGATGTTTACTTTGAATTTATATTAGTTCACACAAACACTCCATCCATGCTTTTGTTCCGGCCCTCCAGTCCAGTTTAAGAACCCATTGTGGCCCTCGAGTCAAAAAGTTTGCCCACCCCTGGGATATAGGGTGGGGTTTGTCACGTCAGATGGAATCCCCTATAAAGGTCTAATAAGTTTCCTTGGAATATGGGAGGACAATTGCACTCTGTACGCAGACGGTTACCCATTGTTAAGGGCTGACTGGTGCTTGACCCTCTCCCGGAGCGAACCAGTGGTTTGGTTAAGCTCATTGTGTCATTTCCCCTAAGTGCTGCAGAGGGAGAGAACAATTCAATAACCGCACAAAGGGGAACGAGCAATGGAGAGGGCCCCGGCCCCCTGCTCTCCTTGTTTCTGACCAGCATCTTGGTCTCCCCTGCTTTTCCGAGCAGCCCCAGGGAAGGCCTTCAATGCCTGCTGATGTCACCCAGGGTCTTGCTTTCATAAGTGCTAAGATGTCATACTAACCATTGGGGCTAAAACCAAGAAAGTCTACCTAGGTGTACACCTACTGTGGTCAGTAATTATCTGGACCCTTGTTTCGTTAAGAAAGGTTAAGGAAATAGCCTATGTAAGTAATACCTTATTTTCCATTTTAAATTCCTAAAGAGAACTTTTATTCAGAAGACAGAAGCTACGTTATATAAGGCCCTAGGACACACAGTGGGTGCCTAGTCCTCGAAGTAGATGGCATTTAAGATACAGCACACCTGCTGCTGATCCCCTCCTTGCACAGAAAAGACAGGGTGACGTTAGAATTTTCTAGAAGGGCAACTATCTATTGTACATAACCTATGTTATACTCCGATGCTGGGGAATGAAACTGAATTTCCTAGGAGAGGCAGTGTTTTTAAGGATATTTCTTAGCAAAGGACAGGGTTTCACTTACGCTAAAACAGGATCATCTTTCACAATAATGAACCGAGAGGACGTAACTGAATTAACTTGTGGGGAGTCGATTCCTCATGACGGATATTAGCTTAACCAGCTAGCAGAGAATTCAGTGCATTATCTTTATCGGGCTGATGCAGGCTGACACATTAACTCAGAAGACCCAGGAACGCTCAGCGGGCCTAATGAGATCCCCACTGTTCCCCCCGCTGCCTCAGCGGCTCTCCGCGTTCCAGTCCAACCTGTGACCTCACGGAGAAACAAATGCTCTCCCCTTCCTCCTCTCCATCCCTCAATGGGAAGAGCATCATCTTTTCACCATATCGTCCTCTCTCCGCCTTCAGGAAGCCTAACAATGAGGATCAGGGCTCAGGTTCTACCCTCAGGACTGAGCCCCACGCAAATGGCATACGATAGAAATCAATGTGACGCCGAGGGACTGCCGGGAACAGCGGCCCACGGCCCACGGGGGAAGGAAACTTAACAATACACTCGCCGACATGAGTCAGGCCCGTTTCCTTCACACAAGTAACGGAGCTCCTGCTCTAATCACTGTCCTATTTAATGTTTCACCACTTAGAAATACAGCTGTGAGAACAATATAATAAGTAGGTCACATTCACATACTACAGTTTCTATTGTATTAGTTCTGTTGTATTAACTTATGTCAGCAGTGGTCCCCTGTGGGTTTGCTGTGTATGCACGACCCTGGGCTCAGTGCACACGCACAGGGCATGGCAGGTAATGCCACCTGGAGGGGTTTGGGGCACCAGGTAATGAACAGTGCGGATGCCTGAATAATGGGATGATGTTTGGATCTTGATCTGAAATGAACTAGGGAATCACTGCGACTTTCCCGAAGACTAGAGCAGGATGAGAGTGTCTGGAGATTGTTCTGGAACATGATGGGGGGAACTGGAGCGGAGAGTGGCCTTGCCCTAAATGCTGTATTTCTTCCATCATGGAAAACCGAGCGTGACGGCACTTAGCAGACGGCTGCAGGGGCACCAATAGGAGGCGGTGGGATCTCGTCCGAAGCAGCCGCGAGTTTAAGAAGACTTTTGCCTGGAGACCAGGGAGGACTGTAAAGAAAGACATTGAAGTAGAACACCGAAGAGTTGGGGGGGGGGGGGAA